GCGATATGGCTGGGTGTCGTAAACAGTGGCCACGTTCGGGCATCTCCTCAATTTCTTTGCAACCTTAGACCACTGAACTTTTCCATTTTCTATTCAAATCCACTTCCAACTTTCCTTTCTTCTTTTATTCTTTATCCCAATGGGCAGCCAAAAGACAGCGACCAAAACCGGCGCACGAATGTGCATGGTTAATGGTTGCTCGAAGTGAAACTGAAAACCCCGCTGGATGCAATGGGCGCCGCAATCCTGATTAGCCTGAGCGACGAACGATGCAGAATTGAATTGTTTGTAATTTTTGTATGTATTGGGGTTTGATGAACGGGTAACGCTAGAGTTTCCAGCCACTAAGCAGGAGAACGTTTGGGGTTCTCAGCCAAAGCCTTTAGTTCTGACAAGAACATAACCACAATGCAGCACTTTTAAGGCGGATTGGAGGCCCATTTACTAAGATCAATTATTTCTCCAACACGTTTCACCGACTGAGACGCCAACTCAAGTCAAACCCCCAACCTGGAGGACCAGGAGACTGGACTTTGTACGATCTCTGCCCGTTGACCTTCCAGGCACGATTAGATCTTTGGCTCCAAAAAATCCATCCTGTGTAGATCGTTGGATCACAGAGGTGCGCAAGCAATCACAGAACGTCAAGGTGCAGTCCCGTCGTGATGGAAATGCACGTGGTCAACCTTTTGCCAATGGGGAAGATTCACTGCAAGGTTGAATATTTTGAGAAGCTATTAAACTGACTGAGCAGTAATAATCTGGTGGTTAAGGCTGTCATCACAACGACACAAGGTTTGGGAGCTTACATGGCGCCGCTGCCGCTCAACTTTAACTTTCTGTGCACATAGAGCAGTGCATAAACGGCTGTAGCGCACCCCAATCCTGAAACTTATTTGCGCCACTGTATATGTAGTAAAAGAAATTGAAAGCATTCCTATCATAATCAAATAATGCACAGGCGTTCCGACCCGGAAACCCTAATCTCATCTACACAAGGTGAGTCGTGAAGCGCTTAGCAGATCAAGCATAGCAGTAACAAACTGAAGAAAATGAACGGGTATGGTGAAGACGGAATCCTAACAGAAATGAACTAGAGCCTCCGAAGCACTCCTCTGATCGATCTGGAACGGCAAATCATACACTGCTGATTGACGAAATTTATTCTTTTCTAAAGTTCCCAAAAACTGTGATAACATGCTGTGTTAATTGAAAGGCGTTTCTGCCTTATCGATTTAAAAGATTGTCTTTTTTCCGATAAGCTGCTCGAAAGCAGAGATCTTCGTACTTGATCTGTTAAAGGACGGTTTCACCGCGAAGTGTGGACCAAATGTTCATCGTTCAAGGAGTTTCGGAGCAAATCCCTCTTTATCGACTTCCGCTACTCATTCGCTTGGATAGACAGAATCCTTATAGACTGTCATGATGAACAACAGAATGGCAACAAAATTTACGAGCCGTCTGAAGGTCCATTATTCAGCGTTATCGTCTCGCATTTGAGTGTGCGGTAAATTTTCATCAAATTCAAGTGAGACAAGGAGGTCCTCACTCTCCCGTGCTGTCCATCTTAGCAGCAGATTAGATACTGAGGTAACCAGAAGGAACTAAACCGAATTCATGTTGAGCCCGAAGGTGTGGATGAATGATTTCAATACGCATATGATATATTTCATACGGGTGACAATCCACAAAACGTGCCTCCCATGCTCGATCGCATGGGTCACCAATCTAAGACGGTTAAACTGGAAGTAAATGCACCGAATACAGCGCTGTTTATGAGGTACATCCCACATGAACAAACTCAAGGGCTGACAGTAGAGGGCGAAGCCATCGAACACGTCACGTCCGTTAAGTATCCAGGATCAATGTTGCTACTCACTGGTTAAGCTATAGACGAAAGTATAGTCCCTTTTTACAACGCAAGAAGCGTGTTCCTCGTACGATTTGGACACGGGGGAATAATCATTTGGATGGAATCGCGTCTCTCAGACTGCCATCAACCCAGTGATAAAACAGCGGTGAACGACATAAGGCTTCGCTAGGTTCGGCGTAGTATTGAACTGAACGACAGCAAAGCTGGATACCAACAGCTACTGTTCTCGTAAGATAACAAACATTACATGCTAACTCGACGCAGAGCCGTTCAATTGATGACTCACTTCACCCGCTTTTTATAACCGTGTCAGAGCCTCACCTGAATCCAACCGCTTATTTTGCGCACGAAACTGGTAATTTCTTGCAATATCGAGTTCCGTTTTTCCTTTTACCTGATTCGTTTCATCACGAAACAATCGCACTGTTATGACTATGTCCTACTTCCCATGATAACATGTTAGCTGAGTTATCTAAATTGTTGGAAAACTAAAGCTACATGTCTGGATCTGTTTTCTCTTTCTCGATCATGGTTCAATTGCCGGAGCCTGTTTTTTCCTAGTGTTAGGCTTCATCGGAAATTTGATTTCGCGTAAATGTACCTAGAAATCCCTATGGTGTAGTATGTCTTTTGTTCATGTTTGATGCGATATAAAAAACTATGGTCCTGGTAGAGCTTCCACGATTCGATTCGTTGCCAGCGTAATTCACTGCAACCTTTGTTTCCAAATTTTTCATAAAACATGTAGTTTTCGGATGACCTACCACAGGATAAGAATTTCTCGGCTGACATCCTTTCGTGTCATGATGATTGATCATGTAAATAACCCAGTTGTAAAAGAAAGATAATTACTTTTGCTTTCAACTGAAGACTTAGTCATTTGCTATAGAAAAGCAACGCAAATTGTCATCGCGGCAACCAATCACCATAAAACATTCGCTAGATCCATGCGAAAAAAGAACCGGATTGGAAAAGCAATGTCCGGGAAGTTTGAAGGAAGAAAGAATAGAAAGAGGTTCACTGTCATCCACACACGATTTTGAATATGAACAAAAAAAGAGGTTTCCATCCGCCCGAGACAATACAAGAAACCTCTCCTTTGATGAATTATTTACACTGTACAGAAGCGAGGGTGTGTTCAATGAGGTTGGTTCACCAGCGGTTAAATTCTCAGATAAAATTTGTTTCCAAATAACTTCGCCGCTAGATGCATTAACATTAAACAGCATTCCGTTGTTAGTAGGAATGAGGAGATTATTCTGAACAGGAGTGAGTGCATCTTTGAACACATTCGACGTGGCACAAAGCCTCTGAGTGCGCCATAACTGCTTTCCTGATATGGAAGAATAAGAGTGAATAGTGGAATCCACGAAAGAGACCACTACGGAAGGATTATGAGGAGCCTCGTTATAAACAATAGGTTTAGCAAATACAGGAGGCATTCCTCTTATCGACCAAAGTGTCCTTTCGGGGTTACGTAAATCGATTGATCCAACCATTCCTCCCAGGCTTGCAACAAAAATTTGATCAGCAAACTCAGGTGAGTCATTCGATGAAATAGGTGCCACGATTGGAGAGTTGTCGAAACTGTTTATCCAAGACAAACCGCATGGTGTCCGTGGATCAATTGCATAGACTTTACGGCCATGGGAACCAAGAACAAATAGGGATTTTTGTGGCAGAAACAGTGGAGTGCCTTTCACTGCTCCCTCAACGTGTATAGTCCATAAAAGACGACCAGAGTCCAAATGAAAACCGTGTACATTTCCAGACAAGGTACCCACTCCAATAAGTAGATCTGATGAGTCAAATCCAAACGTAGATGAACATTCGATACGTTCTTTGATATTAACAGACCACACAGTTGTTCCAGTTCGCAAATCTGCAACAGAGAATAAGCCCGAATGACTGCCAATACACACAACGGGATCTTTGACAGTGGGTGCAGAAATTATTATTGCTGATGCGTCTATGCATTTTTCGAAGGGCTTTCTCCAAAGCGGACGGAAGTAACCACTTTTGTTTAAATTATTGTGCAGTTGCGCTGTCCCGCTAATGAAGATCTGCGCATGCCGGGACGGATTAAAAACCAACGAGTCACGATGAAAGCATGCTTGTGACTCCGGCAAATGGTACACGCGTCGAAACGGGGCAGTTGTTCTTTTAAAACTGTTGCCAGAGAAAGAGCAGGATATCACAGCTCTTGCAAACTCAGAGATGCTTAGTGAAAACAGCTTGGCTAAAAGTTTCGCTTTCGATTTTTTAATCTCGTGACAGTGTTGAACAAGAGTCTCCATAAAGTGAATAGCTTGAAGAGACGATCCACCGAGTTCGAAAAAAGTTCTTTTTGAGTGTAAAGAAAATCCGTAATCCATCATTAACAAACGAAGAGTCATCATTAGCTTTCCTCGTTGTTCAATGGGTACGACACCAGCCAAATGGCAAATCTTTCCATGGGCCGATAAAATTGGGAGGCCTTTACGAAACACAAATCCTGCCGGTATCCAAGGTGCCGCATTTGGGCTGAAAAAGTCCCTTAGGTAAAAAACGATCCGATAACGAAGGTGTCTCAGAAAGGAGTTGGACAGATGATAGTCGGTGCGATTTGAACGGCTATTGACCCAAATGAACGCCACAAGAAGTTGACCACTTCGCGAAGGAGACAGTTTGCATCGACAGTATTTGATATCGACCCAGCGATGCTGATATTTGCAAATAGCAGCCTCCAATGTTTCCAAGCATATTTGATGTCCAAAGCGCTTTTTGCTGCGATCCTTCCTGCCAACAAACCATAAGCATTCGCCACAAGATCCTGGCAAAACCAAATCTCCTGTCGGCCAGGGTGCAGGAGAACATAACTTACTAACACAATTTCGATAAGCCGCAAGGCTGAGGTGAGCTCCTGTTCGTCGAAACACATGAAAGCCTGATGCCTCACGGGATAGAACTAGTTCATACTTATCTTCAATGGGAATTAACGTGAGCTTTGTTCCCAAAAGTGGGAATCCGATGGGCGACAAACCCGGCAAAGGTGGTTCACAGTTGCATCGAAGATTTTTGTCTGAACTGAAATTAAAATTTGAGTTGATTCTGCAGAGTGTAGCCCAACAGGAGACTTCTGTTACTCCATAAATATTATACAGGTTAGCATTCACAACCTTTGAGTTTTCGTAAAGTGCGAGGGGGAAGGGTTCCCCTCCCAATAAAACGTTGATTCCAGGAGTGCTGAGTATTTGGTGTCTATCGGTTTGACTTTGTAACATAAAAAGACTGGGTGTACATTGCAACCAGTCTACGTGCGCAGCGCGACAGAAAAATGCCATGCTATGGGGATGACAAAGGAGACCAGAATCGGGAATAATCAAACAACGTCCAGTTGTCAGAGCAAAATACATCTGAACTAAACTTGGATCAAATGTTAGCGGTGCTGTTAAAAGTACAGACTTTTGGACATGACCGGTTGGAAACCGTAGGCATAAATCGGAAATGTTAGCGGTGAAACACGCATCAGATATGAACGCTATTTTTCCTGGACCGCCTGAACTTCCGGACGACGTTATAGCATAAGCCAAATGAGTAAAAGAACCGGACTTTTCCTCAAGGTGAACGTCGGAAAGAGCCACCGGTCGATCTTCTATATTATCTATCCAAGACGATGGAGAAAACGGGTTACGCAGAAACAAGCGCCAATCATAGTTGGTAAAAACATTGGTTTCTGAATTTTTGTAGGGTGAAAAATGTTTAAATAACTCCGTGATATGTTTTGACTTCCGCAAGTCAATGATGGCGACCACGTAACGCTCTATTTCTTTGAGAATAGAAGGATCGTCACCATCGACAGGGAAGAAGCATAAGCGGGCTTTAGCAACCGCATGTACAGCAACAGTTGTCAATACGTGTGGAGACCACAATATAGCAACAATGGGTACAAATAAATAATTTGGTAGGCGTGATATGTGCGTTATGAAAATATTGCACAGTTGACTAGTATAATCATCAAACTCAGCGAAGGTGAGAGTAGTTGGAATAGCTTCCGCGCCGATTTTTGACCAAAACTGAACGCAAGGGCTTGAAGGTTTCCAACAGGGCGAAACGCAATCTTCTAAGTAACATGGCCACGGTATGCTGGAAAATTCGAACTGTCTCATTGAATTAATTTATGTTAGTATTGTATGAAGTAATCGCGCCTTTTGTTGTTCTGAAAATGACCAAAAAGGGAATTCACGATACATGAAAGACATAGCATAAGGTAACGAATAAGTTATCTGGATTGCATCGCTATAGGTAGGAATATTTTTTATCTACACTAACTGTTTGATTGAATAGGCCACAGTACAGTGTGCCTACTATGGTCCCTCAAGCAGGGCCTTATTGGTGATGTTTTCGATGCAGGTCAAAATGATTATGTATATATATATATATATATATGTATATATATATATATATATATATATATATATCTNTAGATAACCGGGATAACATCTTTTGTTGCACCGTACACCTTTTGGTATTTTTTGTTTGTTTGTTGTTTTTACGGGGTACGGGATTTCGAGAGGCAGACCGTACAGCATTCGCGCCACTGACTTCTGCTCTGGGCTATATATCTATCTTAACGTCTCTGACCAACGACAATCCTCATTCCTTGGGTCCCAACCTGGAAAGCGGGTTGCACCAACCATACGTCACCAAACCATCGAAGGCAGTGTAGAGCGATTACTTCTTTTAGAGAACGATTATCCGCACCCAGCAAACGACGATGAACCTTGTCATTGCTCACCCAGTGTTCCCACCAGATACGAGCAATGTTTCAGATATATCGGTTGGAATACAGAAAGTTGATTAGCATCTGAGGATGCTAAAGAGTAAAGGCGAGTAATCGACTCCCCTCCTCCCCCTAAGGAAGGGATCTGCTCACGGTTCCAAACTTTAGAGAACAGAACTTGTAGTTCTCTAACACGTTCTATTCCACCATATTTAAATAGAGCTAGAGGAAGGCCATTGGAGCCCGGCGCCTTGAGACCTCCCAAGGCTTGGATCTCCCTAAGG